ATGAAACCCACCACCTGCTGCCTCGACACCCTCCCCACCAACTTACTGGTCACCCAGCTCCCCATCATATGCCCACTACTGGCTGACATCATCAACCAGTCCCTCTCCTCTGGATCAGTCCCTGCCCCCCTCAAAACTGCTGTCATCACTCCCCTCCTGAAAAACCCCTCCCTAGATCCCTCAAACCCCAACCATTACCGCCCTATTTCTAATCTGCCCTTCCTCTCAAAAACTCTAGAACGGGTTGTAACCAACCAACTCCGCGCACACCTCTCCTCCCACTCCCTCTTCGAACCCCTCCAGTCCGGTTTGCGCCCACAGTACAGAGATTGCGCTTGTGAAAGTCACAAATGACATCCACTCTATCACAGATAGAGCTCCCTGTCTCCTTGCCCTCCTGGACTTCTCCGCCGCATTGGACACAGTCGATCACACTATCCTCCTCCACCGACTTTCCTCCGTCATCCACCTCAGTGGGACTGCACTCGCCTGGTTCCAGTCCTACCTCACAAACCGCCAGCAGTACATCTGCACAAATGGCTTCTCCTCCCGCTCTCACCTGTGGGGTACCCCAAGGATCCATCTTTGACCCCCTCCTCTTTCTGATCTACGTGCTCCCTCTTGGGGATGTCATCCGCAGACATGGGGTACATTTCAACATGTATGTGGATGACACCCAACTCTACTTTTCCACCTCTCTGCAACCCCCAATCCCCTGATGTTCTGTCAGCCTGCCTGTCAGACCTCAGGGGCTGGATGAGCGCAAATTTCCTTCAGCTGAACGTTGGCAAGATGGAAGCCATACTCTTTGGCTCTTGTCAACATCTAAAATCTCAGTTCTCACCTCCTCCACCTACCCGACCTCCCCCTAAAACTCTCCGAACCCATACGCAACATAGGCGTCAGGTTTGACTCCCAATTATCCTTCCTCCCCCAATCTCCACCTCCGTCGCATCGCCCGTCTCTGCCAATACCTTTCCCCAAAAGCCGCTGAAATCCTGGTCCATGCCTTTGTCACTTCTTGGTTGGACTGCTCCAACGCCCTCCTCGTTGGTCTCCCATCCACTACCATCCATAAAATCCAACTCATTCAAAACTCTGCCGCCCGCATTCTCACACGCATGAAACTCCGCTCCCCGATCACCCCAGTCCTTGCCAGACTGCACTGGCTGTCTGTTCCAGAGGATCGACTTCAAGATCCTCACCCTCGTATTGAAGTCCCTGCACTCCTCTGCACCCCCTGACCTCTCTGACCTCTTCTCCTCAAAACAGCACTCATTGCCTTCGTTCCTCTGGGTCTGGCCTCCTCCTTGCCCCCCCCCGCGAGTCCTCCGCTCCACCCTTGGTGGCTGTGCCTTCATCCACTACACCTTGAGGCTCTGGAACTGCCATCCTCACTCCCTTCATCTCGCTCCCTCCCTTCCCATTTTCAGGTCTCTGCTGAAGACCTTTGTTTTCAACCGCGCCTTTGGTCACCTTCCTCCCCCTCTCCCTGGGTCGGTCCCAGGATCCATTACTATAAAGCGCCCTGAGACACCGTCCGGCATGAAGGGCACTATATAAATCCAAGTTGTTGTTGTTGCACGAGATTTGACTTAGTTGCTTTCATATCTGGTGTTGTATAACTTGCCTATTCTGAGTAATTCCACGAGAGAAACCTGAGGGATTCATTGTGATGCTTTCATTTCTCACGTAGATTTACGGCAATGCATTTGCTTCCCGCAGCACAGGATAGTGTTTTCTCATTTCTGCAAGACTTGCATTTTATTTTCTACAGCAAATTCATCACAAAGCTCTCATATTTTTTAGGAGTTACTATCACAGTCATTCGTGTTTCTTTCTGTTAACTGGTGCTTCACTATTATCTGGGGGTTGGGAGGGGGGGTTGGAGTTAGAAATGACTTGCCTGGCAACGGAATATCGGAATCAATTTGATCTTCTGTGGTGGTCTACGTAATTTGGTTCCTGATCCAGAGAGGCTGACCACCACCAACAGCAAATTAAATTTCTATAGCACCTTTCACGTCAGGAGGATGTCGCAATGGACCTGATATGCGGGTTGGGATCAGGAGGGTGACCTAAGGCACTGTCCAAGAGGAGGTCTTAAAATGGGCCTTGAAGAAGTCCCAACTAGGAAGGCCTACTTGAAGACCAGTCCCTATTGGGGGCAGGGAGTCTTCCTACCCAGCTCCTGTTAACCCTGCAAGCCAAGACCCTATTGTCCTAGCTAGACAAGCAATAGAAAGCATGCCAGTGTTCAATTTATCAAGCTGCATGGTTTTAAGATGGTTAAACAGTAACTTTATCAAAGCTTGATTATGGGGGAAATCCCAATAGAGGCTGACATTGTCAATATTGCTACACATAAAGCTGTAAATTTCAGTGCTCAGAATGGAGCAGTGCAAGTCAGTAACTAATGGTACAATGAATGTTGCTAAAGGAATAATGAACCAAGTCCTTCATTGTTAAAAAAAANCACGTATTTAATCTGTTTCAAAATGAGGCATTATTTAGGAAAATTTGGAACAAGACTGTCCAGTTTTGTGTTCAGCTAAAAATCTCCAATGAGTAAAAAANCAGATGTGTGCTTTGGATTCATCAAGTGCACGTTCCATTCTTCAATGAAACCGAGTTTTATTTAGTCCATAACCTATCTCCTTCGCTCAATGCACAGGCCTGCTGCAAGTCTCTGCTCCTTCCATGACTCCATTGCTTCAGTCACTATGCCTCTGCCTCACCTTCGTTATCTATCTTTAAATCCCACTTTAGGACTCTTCAATCACACCAATGTCACCCCTACTTCCCAACTGCACAATGAGTGCAGGCTTGAGATAGTTCAAAGTGCTTCACATAAATTACTTTGAAGTGCAGTGATGGCACATTCTGTAGGTGAATGTGGAAGCCATTGTGTGCACAGCAATGCTCCCCAAAACGGCCAATTTTATGTGGCAGGTTGTTGGGCAGGGCACCAGGAGAAACTTTTTCTGTTTGCAAACAGTGCCATGGGATCTTCAAAATAATGCCATGGGACCTGAACAGGCACTTCCCCAGTACTGCATTGGAATGTCAGCTTAATGTTCACGATGTGGGGCTTGAACCTATGATCTTATGATTCAGATTTGGGAGTGCTACCTTTTTATTCCAAAATTGTGTTAACTGAATAAAATTAGTCAAAATGTTTCCACAGTTCTCTACAATCTTAAAATTTAAGACAAAATGGTCTTACCTGGGTAAGATTAGGTGGAATATACAGAAATGTACAATGAAATAAATGAGTCTTGAAGTACACGAGGAAGTTGAGCACTTATGGAGTTGAGCATTAATCAGCACTTTTCAGAGAGAAATGAAACAGTGCTTGTTATTTAGCAAGGAGTGGAAATTTCCTCAGTGGAGTGGAAATTGAGGCAAGTTGTTTCATACCATCTATGTTGATGTTCCATTTAGAGATATCAACTCAGCATTGATTCAGTTCTATTACTTTATATCTTCGTGGACACAAAGATATACAACCATCTGCTGGTCCCAAAGTAACAATTACTACTTTGCTCTATTGCTCTTCAATCAATTTGTCGTTCCAATAGCTATCAAACTCCTGTTCAAGATTGTTGCCAGAGTTTGCTTCCTTGGGTAATTCTTTTTTATAATACTTGCATTTGTATAGCACCTTTCACATCATATGCACAGCAATGTCCCACAAACAGCTACAAAGTGAATGAGCAATTTTATTTGTGGGAGTGTAGGACACATGGGATCTTTAATGCACACCTGAACAGGCAAACGGGTCGGTTTAACTTCTCATCCAAAGGATAGCCCCTCCAACAACTCCAACTATAACCCCAGCACTGCATTGGAGCATCAGCTGAGACTAAGTGAGTTCCAAGTTCTGATGAGAGCTTGAATCCACAACCTTCTGATTCAGACACACTCCGCATTCACTCCATATATCCACATATTGTGTAAAATACACAATAAATCTAAGTACAAAGCAAATCTAAATTGGCTCCTTATCTTCCTTAGTACTCAAGTCCCTTTGTAGAGTTTGTAACTATTGTATGTTGAACACATTAATGTTCAGTTTATCTATACCAGTCAGGATCTTTAATACATTAAATAACATTTTCCTTGAGTCTTCAAGTGTGAATTTTCAAATGTTACTTTTGAACACAAGTGTTGGATTATACTTTTGACTTTGGTTAAGATGAAGAAACCAGTTTTTCAAAAACAATATGTTTACTGTGTACATTGTTTAAGGTTGGTGTTTGGATTGTTTTCTGCAGTTAATAAGTTATATGTATCTATCAAAACTTGGCTTCCCAAAAAAGGATGGAGAGTAGAGGAAAGAAGAGTTTACACTTTGGGAGGCGGAGAAGATAAAATATATCTCTGCAAGATTTTGTTTTCTTATTAATGACAGAATCATTACATTAGAAGGATGGATAGCACACTGGGTTCTAGTATTGTCCATTCACTGTCAGGAACCTGAATTGAATATAAACTGCTCGAATCCTAAGCAAAATGAGTTCTGGCAATTTCCCACCTAGTTTCTGGTTGGCACAAAGCTACAGTAAAAACTATCCATAATTTGTCATGAAACCAGGACCCAGAAGAGAGACCACATAACAACAAAAAGGTTGGTGTAGCAAATGGAAAAATTTCACATTGTTCCCTTAGTGGGATAATAATAATAATCCTGCATTTGATATAGCGCCTTATCACATCTTTGAGACATCTCGCAGAATCTACTGTAAAGTGAATCGACTGTACATTTTGCGGGCTAAATGCAGCAGCCAATTGCGCACAGCAAAGCAGTGTCCCACAAACAGTTGTGGATTGAGTGACCAATTTATTATTTTTTTTGGAAGGAATTATTACCTCCGGAAAAGCGATCCACGAATTGACGAACAACCGGGTTCCTACTTACTGCTAGGTAAACAAGCGTGAGGAGTAAGCAACATTTCACCCTGCTGGGAATCTAACCCAGGTCCTCCCACTTGTGAGGCGAGTGGTCTAACCACTGAGCTACAGGACTACAGGCTAAGGTAAACTGTTGGACCAAACTATGGTGAGCTTCAGTGTGGTGTGTGCATCTTGGGAGCATTTGATATTGGTGCTCAAAGCTAAGTCAAAATTTTCTATTCCCACAGATTTCTCACCCTGATGTACACAAAACCTGTCTAAAAATGTACAAAATTTAAGAAAAAAATCTAAACATTAATGATTTCTACCAATGACAATGGAATTAGAAGGAATTTGTCCTTTAAATTTTTTTTTTTGACCATTCAAGTAGGGTCAAATATTATGTGTAAAACCCAGTTAAAACAGTAACAAACTTGGCACACAATACAGAAATTCAGCTTCACTCTGACAAAACCAGATATATCCTTAAGGAAACAGTGAAGCTCAGGAATCAGCAACAGATGCCTTCTGTCCAAAGGATTGCACATGACTAAGATGTGCAAGTGAAACATACAACTTCGCTGATGCACATCCTCTGTAAGGAGTACCTTCTCTGCTTTCAAATGGGACAGGAATTCTTTTGCCGTGTCTCTTATGTCAATGTCTGGAGCAATATGATCTTCTCATTAATGCAAAATCTATGCAACACTACCATTAAATTTTCCGCACAACGGGAGACCTGTCTCTCCATCGCCAACCTGAAATCCTCCTTCACTCCCTTGGTAATACCTCGAGTTACAGTGTGATGCCTGTAATACAAAGGAAATAAACAAATGATTTATCTGCTGAATTGCCCTGAATTAATTTCCCATCTCCAGTTTGGTTTGGACAAATCTCTTAAGATGATTAGATAAATTTTTCCTCACTAGTTATTCAAAAAATTAATTGCTTAATCGTTTGAGAGAATATTTGAAAACGTTTTATGAAGTGTCAAGATTTCTAATTAAAGTACACGTTTTCTGATCAAAACATTGCATGTGATGCTTTCTTCAGCAATTATGCAAATTAATCAGAACACATGTGTACTTCTCTTTACAATTACTTCTATGCTACACATTGTATTATAAACGACTTAACCAACAAACATTCCTTCAAAAGAAACCGTATGATAAGAAAAACTTGTATCTGTGATTTACTACAATTTACTGCGTACTACAATGATTATCACAGGATGGCATGATGCTTTAATCATGGATTGCATAAACAAAAAAAGAAAATAAAGACATTCTGGAAGCATGTAAAACCCATGGATTAACATGGTGACAAACACAGCACATGACAAACAGGTCGTATGGTACCTGTCAGCTGTCTGAATGCTGGACTGCAGTTTGAACTCCTGCGGAAGTACCCCCAATGGAGGACTAGAATTCCTTGAAAACAGTAAATATCAACAGTACTTTCAACGCTCACACATATTTACCTATTGGTACAAAACTCTTCACCTGTTACCAACAGAACAAGATAACTGGAAGGAATTGAACAAGAGTGTATAAACTTACATTCATAAAGTACAACTAGATATATATAGTACATGACTAACAGGATGCAGTTGATAAGAGTACTAGACTGATTTCAGGAGGGTCGAGTTTGCAGAACATAGAATACATCAGACTGAGCAAAATATAAGCAGCTCAACTGATTCACTACATACAATATTTTCCTCTAATCACTGGCTACAAGTATAGTTCTCTAATCACTGCCGTACATAATCAATATAGCTAAAATTAGTACTTTTTTGATGAGGAGAAAATGACAAAGATTTCATGGTTGATCAGTCACAAAACCTGAATCAAAAGCGAGTATTTAAAATGAGATTTTCTCCCCTTAATCTCTGTGTATGTCTCACTATCCCGAGCATCTTCTACAACTGAGATAACATTCAGAGGACTTGTAGGCAAGCCTCCACAAGTGGCACTCTTTATTCAGCTGCTGTAATCGATCAAGGTCAGCAATTTGATCGAGATTCTCTTACTGGTTGACACACAAGTGTGAGAGGAGGTGGTTTGTGACTGCTCAGTGACATCCCCACAAACCTGGCTTCAATCTGAAACTCAATGGTTTCATGATCAAGTCATGTCCTTCCACTATGTAGCAAAGAAATGCTGATGTTCTCTGATGTGCTTCTCCACTGTATCTCTGACATTCACTTCCACTCCATAGAACAGTGTCAAAAATAGGATTCCAATTAAAGCAAAAAACTGGACAAAGCCTCATAGAAGTACGATTACTTCGTCAATTTTGCTGGAATGAAATTAGTTTAAAAATTGAGAATGCAACGAAAACGTGAAAGCCCATTAATGCAGCAAACCATCAAGGACGAAATAGGGCAGCTGAGAAAACAAGATAAATCAAGAAGCTGCTAGGTTAGATTACGTTTGGGTTTCTGAAGAGTCTAGAATCTAGATTGTAGGAGGGCAGACTGTTCAACAAACAAGATTGAGAGGTACATATAGCAAGGTATGACCATGTAGTTGAAAGTGGATTTATGTCAGGAGATGAATAATTTTAGAGTCTTTCTAACCTTAGAAAGTATAGATATAAAGGCAAAGTGCATGAAACTTCCACGTTGAAATTGCTGTGATGATGTGTTGAAAGAGGTTGGTTTCTTTTTTTGACATTTAAATAATTTGTTGGCTGGATCTTCATGTTTATGCAAATTTCTGCTTTGTTTGTTGAAAAACTGTATTAAACTTTTGTCTCTGAAAATGGATTTAAAATTTTTTGGGGGGGATAATTGCATATTCTGTCAGTTTTTAATCATAAAATTTCACAGGCTCGTAGATATCAAACACATCAGTCACTCTGAGATCTAATTAATTGTCAAGTACTTGTTTCACATCAGAGATTATTTACTAAAGTATCCTATTGATTGTATTTTCGGCTGTTGTTTGACGTGCATGCCTAATTTAGTGAACAGACATTTCATAAACACATTATTGTTCTACATAGACAAGATTCACCCATTCAGATGCCCAAATTTGTTTTAAAATACTTTCTATACTTTATATTGTCACATGATACAATGCACATTATTGCAAAGTATACTGCATTAGGCATTTTTGGTTAGGTTTCCTTTAGAAGAGACATCTTCTGTCAGAGTAGCAGTTAAAACAATTTTTTTAATGTGGTTTAATGAGTTTTTAGTGCAATTCAGATCTGGGATTTGTTATCAAATAATATTCTTCAAACCACGCATTCTTGGTAATTTACTAATATTCAGTTTGTTTGAAAGACCAAAGCATGCTTAGCAGAATCAAGTCAGGAAGTGGAAAACAAGGATAAAACAAAAGAGGAAATGGAACATCCTCCCGACATGAAAGACAATTTGTTGGTGGTTGTTGTAGTACGCAATCAAGTTCCATGATGTGATATCTAAGATGTTAACACCACACAAACTGGCATATTCAAGACTATCAAACTCTTACACCAATCTAACAAACCGAGTTTATTCTGCTTTTGAGAAGAAAATCCGCTTGTTGTAAGAGTGATTATGGCTTCACAACCTATCAGTCTGTTAAAAACACTTGATTCAGGGATTTACAAACGTGCAGACAAATGCACACTCAGAATCTCGATGAAGGATCTGACCAGGTCATCTGACCAGGTCTTCAATAATATTCCACATTTTCCATTAATGTTCCTGTGTCATCCATTTTCTCATGTTTTTTATCCAGCGTTTTCATACAGACACACTGTGTTAATATTGCCAGAGGAGCAAATAAGACTGACCTGAAAACCCCCACACAAGATGGTTTTCAGGAAATCATTCGCACAAGAAGAGCAGAAACAAAACATTATTATATTTCACTGAAGAGATTTGATACCAAAATTGGGCTGCATTGTCAGCAGAGTCTGGATATTTAAATCCCACACTGGAGAAAGATCTACTTATATATCAAGTACTTATTTCTATGAGATCTATTTTATCTATCAAATACGTATTTCACACCAAACCAATTACTTACTAAAGTATCTCATAGGTTGTACTGTTTTCCTCTGTTGTTTGACATGCCTGTACAATTTGGTGAATAGATATATTTCAAAAAAACTCATTACTGTTCTATATAGACACAAGATTCACCCATTCAGATGCCAAATCTATTTTAAAATACAGATTTTAGAAAATAATGGAAATGAAGGAAAGCAATCTCAAAAGGTTCAATTCCTTCCAGCATCTTTGTTCTTCTTACAATGCAACATATATTTCTCATGTCAACATACAATAACAGAACAAGTAGAAACACAAACACACAGCCAGCCCACCATCTCATTCAGTCTCTCAGACCAGCAAGATCAGCACTCACTTTATTAATAGGCCTTGATTTGGTAACAGTTCAAGATGAATTTTGCCACCTTCCGTAGTTCTAAGATAAGCAAATTCTTCCAACATATCAATGTCTAGGGGCATGGTTAAGGATGACTGCAGAATGATTAATTAAATAATAACTGCAGGTTATGCAATACCTCAACTGATCTAAACATTTGAGTGCCTTGCACACCAAGCTAATTGTTGAAGTATTGTGACTGTTATGCGAGCAAGAGCAAATGCAGCGGTTATCAGGCATCTTATCACAGTACAACTATGAAAGGATACTGGTAACATAATTAAAGAAGTTCTCATATTGGAAGGATCCCAGGTGGCAGATCTTGTCAATAGCTTTCAGAAAGAGATTCTCTCCTCGAGGCCAGTCCAGCTGTAGTAGTACAATCACATGACCCAAGGCAAGGTCATCTCGATTGTCTGTAAAGGCTCTCAACTACAAAAACAAACCGATGGGTCATTGCAAAGCTTTCTCAAAAGTAATTTGTTTTTCACATTCTTCCGTGGTGGTGTATTGTACCTTCAACAAATGTGTCAACAAATCAACATATGACTCATCAGTGAATGAAACGTCACTTTATGACTCTTAATTTCAGTGATTTCAGGATTTCACAATTTTACTGAAAATGTCAGGGCAACTTTACTGTCACATAAATATGTTCAGGAGGCAACGGTTTTAGAAAAGAGGCTAAGCAATGTGGTGAAAGGGCAGGTGGTTGAGGTTGAGAATTGTCAAAAAGGAATCAGTTTATTATTATTATTATTATTTTAGTGGAGTCCTGTAGCTCAGTGGTTAGAGCACTCGCTTTGCAAGTGAGAGACCTGAGTTCAATTCCCGGCAGGCGAAACATTGGCCAAGTTTCCTTACTCCACACAGAGCCTAATAATAATCCCTCCAAAACCAAAAACAATAATAAAAATTGGTCATTTTCAATCTACGACTGTTTGTGGGACATTGCTGTGCACAATTGGCTGCCGCGTTCGCCCACAAATATACAGTCAATTCACTTTACAGTGTGTTCTGTGAAGCGCTTTGGGACGTCCTCCTGACGTGAAAAGCGCTATACCAAATGCAAGGATTATTATTATTATTATGCTGGGGCCTTTTTCCGTTTTATACATTCTTATGTTCATGTGGCTATAGGGAGAAATAAATTGTATCAGAAAAATTAAATACTGAGTTTTCAGAAGGCTCTCAAGCTAATTGATTAAGTGCTAATTAATGACATTCTATTTAATAAAATACCTTTTGCAATTGATACAGTACATGTAACATCAAAACATCTCAAAACACTTCACAGGATTGAATCAGTCTGTAAAGAAGAAATTCATTTTCTTTTTTTTTCTTTTGAGACTGAACCAGACCTTTATAACAATCACTGATGACTAACAATGAACATTGCAGACTGGTACAATCATCTGTGTTAGCACACAAAATGACAAGCTTACCTTGAAGCAAGCCAACATTAACTGAAGGCAATATGGCATAACAGCTTTGCTGGTGCAGGGCAATAGTTTAAGATCCGTACCTAAACATAAAGGGAGTGTAGGAGGGGGAAAGAAAAAATAAAGAACAAAATGTACACAGTATTTTTAGACCTCTATCTTTCATTGTTCTCAGCATAGTGGTAAAGATATCATACAAATCTTCCAATATCAAAGAAATCGTTATTAAAGAAGAATATTTAAGAGGAATCAAGAAGCATAATTTCCTCAAGATCACTTAGAAAGTATTTATAATAAATCTTATAACACAGGAAGTAAGCAATTAATTATTAGGAGATGCTGGATTTCCTTGAATCCAAAATCAAGGGAATCCGCTCCGTGGTCACTGCCCCTCCAACTTCCACCCACCCTCCACCCCTTCCCTCCCACACTCCGACTCCTACCCAATCCTCCCCTACACACCTTCGAACCCGTTTCCCCACCCTCTGTCACCAATCTCATCCTGTCCCTGAAACCCACCACCTGCTCCCTGGACCCCATCCCCACTCTACTCCTTATCTCCCAGCTCCACCTCCTTGCCCCACATATCACAGACATCGTCAACCTGTCCCTCTCCTCTGGCTCTGTTCTCATTCCCCTCAAAACTGCCATCATCACTCCCACACTGAAACAATCCTCCCTTGATGCGTCGCAGCTATCAAGCTACCGGCCCATCTCCAACCTCCCCTTCCTGTCCAAGGTTCTCAAAAGAGTCGTCGCCTCCCAACTGCGCTCTTTCCTCTCCACCCACTAATTTTTTGAACCCCTCCAGTCGGGTTTCCGTGCTGCCCAAAGCACGGAAACCGCCCTGGTCAAGGACATTAATGACATCTTGACCATCTGCGACCAGGGCTCCCTCTGCCTCCCCGACCTATCGGCCGCATTCGATACGGTCGACCACGCTATCCTCCTCCACCGCTTGTCCTCCCACCTCAACCTTCAAAGCCCTGTCTTTGAATGGTTTAGGTCCTACCTCTCCCACCATCTTCATTTTGTTTCCACAAACGGCTTATCCTCCACCCCCCGCACTGTCTCGTGCGGTGTCCCTCAGGGCTCTGTCCTCGGTCCCCTCCTCTTCACCCTCTATATGCTCCCCCTTGGTGACATCATCCGCAGACATGGGGTTAACTTCCACATGTATGCGGATGATACCCAACTCTACCTTTCCTCCTCTACCCTCAACTCCACGACCACCGATGTCCTGACAGCCTGCCTGTCCGACATCGAGTCCTGGACGAGAGACAACTTTCTTCAGCTCAACGTGCGCAAAACTAAGGCCCTCCTTATTGGCTCGCGTCAGCGCCTCCGCACCTCAGGCGCTGACACCATCAGCATCCAAGGCTGCACTCTCCACCTCTCAAAGCCAATCAGGAACCTCGGGGTTCTGTTCGACCCTGAGCTGTCCTTTCTTCCCCATATCTGCGCCACAACTGGCACCGCCTTCCACCAACTCTCGAATATCGCCAGACTACGGCACTACCTCACCCCTCACTCGGCTGAAACTCTGGTCCACGCCTTTATCACCTCAAGGCTGGACTATGGGAACTCTCTCCTCGCCGGCCTTCCCGGCACCTCCCTCCACACCGCAGGTCATTCAGAACTCTGCAGCTCGTGTACTGTCCCGCACCAGGCTTCGGGACCACATCACTCCCACCCTCGCTCGCCTCCACTGGCTCCCCATCCCCCAGAGGATCGAATTCAAGATCCTCATCCTCACCTACAAGGCCATTCACGGCCTTGCTCCCTCCTACTTCTCCGACCTACTATCCCCCTACTTACCTGCCCATACCCTCCGTTCCTCTGGCTCCGGTCTGCTCCACATCCCCCGCCCCAATCGCCCTACGATCGGTGGCCGGGCCTTCAGCCTCTCAGCCCTTAGGCTCTGGAACTCCATCCACTTGTGCCTTCACCGCCTCCTCCCTTTCCTCCTTCAAGCCCGGTCTCAAGACCTTTCTCTTCAACCGTGCCTTCAGCTCCCCTCTCGACTCTCTACCCCCTCCTCGCTCCCTCCCTTCCCTCACCCTGACCATTTCCCCCCTGCTCGGGTCCCGACCCAACTGTCCAGCACCTTGGGACGTCCTCCCGACGTGAAAGGCACTCTATAAATGCAATCTTGTTGTTGTATTCTTTTTATCAAAAAATACTGATCACAAAATTATCATTTCTTTAAAATAAAGATAACCTCAGTTTTTCTTTCCCTCGTCTTCACATGCAGCAGTTGTCAGATTCACAAGTGCTGCCATGAGGCGACTCTTTAACCAATTTTCTACCTTTTGTATGAGGAACTCTCTCCTTCTGTTCATTTTACAAATGAGGGTAAAATTGAGATTAGAAGCATTCTGCACCTGGGGTATTGGGGTATTTTACATTCTATACCAACAACTCTGCCTCAAATCACAATCATTGCATAAATAAAAACCAAATGTAAACCAGACACTAGCATCTATTATTTTTATATCAGTAAACAGACCAGAATGTAACGATTATCTTACTACTGGTCACTAAATTAAAATTCTCATATCTTTCATAGCTTATTGTGAAGGAGAAAAATATTTGAAATGTTGGGACCAGTGGGTAGAAAAGAAATCCACAAATGTTTCCCTGAAAAAGATGCTAGGAACCAAACACCCAGCAAATGAAATGATATTTACGCAGCCAGGAAAATTGGTGGGAAAACAGCTCAAAATCTCATGTCCAATATGCTTATCTCAGTTGTATCCTTGTAGAGATGTTCTGAGCAGAGGGCAGGGAGGGGGTGGAACAATTGGTGCGAGAGTCATCCCATGGCAGTTTTTGTGTAAATCAGAAGAAAAAAAGATGAATTATTGCCTCTTCCCTCCCCGCAAGTCATCCTGTGAATCATGCTGTACAATAGGAAACTGAAAAATGCCTAAATGGAAGTAACTTTTTTTAAACTTTGCTCTAGGACCTTTTTGTTTATCTTAAACAGACAAATTCAGATAGTTGTTCTAAAAAAATACATTGGCAATATTTATACTAATGGAGCACATGGAGAGAAATGTACTGATATCACAGCATTGCAATATATTTCATTGAGGAAAAATGACAAATGAAAATAACATTCTTGAATATCTGAAACATTTTGTGGCATTCCATACCTCTCCTGAATTTAGATTTTGCTTTTGGGATTTCTTCCTGTGATTTGCCCGTTTCTTGGAGACATGGCACAACAGTACACATAACATCCAACACTTTATCACACGTCATCTGCAGCAGGAAAATATAGTCAATGGTTAATTAGAAGTTTATGGATCCTTGTCACTTTGTCATTTCAAAAGAGCAACACCATACTCAGTGATACTCAAGAATATGATCTGGGCTATTTGCAGCTCATTTTCCATCACACTGTGGCTCTCAGGTTACCACGTGCCCTTCGGGTGCTGTCCCCTCTCTTCTGCCGCACAGTAAGAAAAAACGAATGAATACCATTTGTGGAGTCCTGTAGCTCAGTGGTTAGAGCACTCGCTTTGCAAGCAAGACACCTGGGTTCAATTCCAGGCAGAGGGCGAAACCTTGAGCAAGTTTCCTTACTCCACACACCTAATAATAATCCCTCCAAAAAAAAACAATAATAAATTGGTCATTTTTAATCCACGACTGTTTGTGGGACACTGCTGTGCGCAATTGGCTGCCGTGTTTCACGTCTAGAAGACACGAAAAGCACTATATCAAATGCAACGATTATTATTATTATCACCACCTAGGTACACTTTTTTCCAGTCACTCAGGTTCAACAAGTAAAAGGGCTGCATTCGAATTATAGAGCCCAAAACGGTTTGCAATAATAGAGGTGAAATGCTAAATTATTATGATCCAGCTCCTGACAATAATAGGAAATAGATCTTGCACAGTCTCTCATTAATATTGTTTTATGCATTTTGCAAAGTTATAAATGTTGCAAAAAAAACCTTCAAAGGATCTCCATCAATTGATTATTTTGGACATTTATGCAGTTTTGGCAAGCCATACTCTCTGACTCAACACATCAAAACTGACTTAGCACAAGCCACAGCCCTTTAATCTATAACTTCACTATTTTATGCTAAAGGGCTATGGCTTTAGAGAAAACACTACAGGACTATTCCTAGAGCCCTGTGAAATTATTTTTTAAACAATGTTTTTGTTTTATTTTTCAGGAATTTCTTGTTATTTCATTTTATCCATTAAAAATGTTGTTTTATTTCTTTTATCACATTTACGATGTTTCATAATAATAGCTGGATTAGGCATTTTAAACTCTGGTGGCAACATTATGAATTTCCATACTTTCAAGGAGTCTATTGCCAAGACAACATCGGTTGAAAGTATTCATTTATTTTTAAATATTTTCACGCAGAATCCATGGATTTTAAACTATCTTCTTGTATTCTTTTTATTAATTTTTTTGTTTTATTTTGTTTTTCATTTTATTTTCTGTAATTTTCGCACCTGCGAAAAGCCAGGCCTCCAACTATTCCCATAGCTGTACCTTGCAAAGCAAACTGCTTATTTATTTTTAAAATTAAAAATGAAAAGGAAAACCTAACGTAGACACCAAACAATGGGACAATCTTTACCTAATGCAGATAAGCCTTTTTTACACAAAGAATGATACATAATATTTAACACATGATAAGATAATAATATACATGATCTAAGGTGCAGTAGTAAAAGCAGAAACATTAAGCCACATTCATTACATGAGTAAGAGGGGAGTAAACTTTCTTATTATTGACTCTTCAATTACTGTGAACTTACCCTGTATTCTCCGAGTGCAAAGTGACAGGCAGCCATTTGGATTAGCGCCCTCTGCTGGTCAAGAGTAGCCTGACTCAGGGCATGCTGTTGGGCTCCTTGAAGCACAGCTAACTGATGAAGACTATTTATTGCTTTTCTGTATTGGCCCTTTAAAAAACACAAGATTTCAATTACATGGTGTGGCAGTGAAGTTCAAGCAAACTTACATGATCATATTAATAACTCTTGCATTTAATACAGCACCTGAAAAAGTCATGAGGTGAATGATCAATTAATTACTGTTACTTTTTCTGACTGCATTTGTAGCAAACAGCAGTCAAATTGTTTAGCAAGTTTCATAAATAGACGGGAGGTCCAACACCCAATAACTGAACCACTGTTAGACAGGGCACTGGGAGAAACTCCCTTCTCTTGTCAAGATGGGTGTGATGGGTTCTTCCAACATCTATCTTAAGGGTAACATCATCAACAATTTAGCACTTCCCAAACTGCACTGGATTGTCAGCCCAGAACTTGTCATTAATTGTTTTCATATTAGTTTTTCTGTTTTCTAATTGTCAAATTAACAAACAACTTGATATGGTGCTATACCAAATGCAAGGATTATTATTATGAAATGCAAAGTTCATGAATGAAGAGCATTTTGTTTACATCTTAGAGATTGAAAGAATTTAATCTATAGTTCAATTAACTACACATAACTGGTTACTCAAAATATTCCTCTAAGCCAAAATACCTTACCTGGTATATAATCATGTCGGTTATGAATATTCTCAGCCATAGCCACATTTCAGTCTTCCATGACATACAGATTCGAATAAATTCTTAAAGAGAAGAATCAGAAATAAATTCTACAAATACCATAAAACAGGGATTTAATCCTATCTCAGAGCACCTCACAAAGCTGACTGAGGAGCATGAGATAGAAGGTAGCTGGGGGGGTTATGATGGCCGAAAGTGTGTTTGAAGAGATAAGTCTCAGTGGATAATCACCTAGAGAAGTCTGAAGGAATGAGTGCAACAGCACACAGCCCCATAATACAGCTTTCCTCCTTTTATCCAGTATTCACACTCAAGAGACAGTTAGCGAGCAGCCCTACCTTTCTCTAAGGCCTCCAGGGAATGAAGCAACTCCCAACTTTCCCTTGCAGTCTTAAAGCTCTCAAGCACATCGATTGAGTTTGGTAAATCACTCTTATTCATCACAATGTGACGGTTACGGCCCTTTCCAGAACATTCTTCGTCATCTGAGCTCTGGGGAACAAAAGGGATTAAAATGAGATATTATTCATCAGAATTTCACAAGATTAATTCACAAAAATGATCACTTTTTAAAGTAGGATGGAATATTGACATTTTGTTGCATTAATATATATGCATTGAAATTTCTCCTTATTATCTGGATCTTACATCGCAACACCAGTCAGTCACCATCCTTAAGTATAAATGTTGTCAAATCTCAGAATGTGACATTTGACAACATACACTTCCCAACACAGGAGAAACCCCAAGCAGAACAAAATGAACAATTACATTTTCAGGAAAACCAAATGGAAAATAACATTTTGCGCAGACCATTTCTATTGAAAGTAACATCGGAGTGGAACTTGTTTTGAGGCTTTGATGTATTTCTGTGCTGACAGAAACCCTCGTCACTAAATTGCTTCTGTGATGTCAGAAGGCACACTCCGCCTGTTCAGCTCCAAGGTGATAAGCAGGGGATGGAACTTCACACCAGCCTGAGTGCTGACATAAAGTTAGAGGAGAAACCATTCTACATCCTGTACTTTCCACAAATAAATATCTAAACACATCCTACATTCCTTATGATGAAAATTCACAAGCAATGAGTTGAACCAGACACATTATGCAGGGTATCCTCTGGAAATTGCAGATTCCAGTAAGTGTTCCTGAGGTCACTAATGGTGAAAAGTAATGAAATAGTGCGTCTTATGTGCAAAATCTAGCCTGCAAGCATTTATGAATGCAATACTAGTCTGACTGTTATGTCTGTCTGACAGTCCAGAATGATGGTGCACCAGTGATCTGTATATAACAATGCCATTGTCCAACCCTCCCAAATCCCAGACATGATGAGCTCTCCTGCCTAGATGAAACAGAACAGAGGCCATATGCTGGACAGGAGGAGAGAAAACGAATGAAGACCTAAGGCGAGCAGCTAAGTCAAGAGCATAAAGTAAGGCTGGGAAGGAAAGCAAATATCCAAAAATGGACGCAACACATTACGAAAAAAGTCCCAAATGTCTCACCTGTGTTTTTTCCCTTCCGTCTGCAAGCTTTCGCCGCTTGTGAATGTGTTTGCTCCGATCGATCTCAACATCACCGTAGATATTTGACAAGTCATCCAGTAGAATAAGAGGAGGTTGGTTGTTGGAAGGGCTGGACGCTATTAAAAAAATAACCGATTGTTTTAACAGCTACAGAAAATATGCATGACCTGCATGCCAAAACAGCATTGACATTGATAAGTACAGCAGCTATACAACGAGAACGTAGCCAGGATTTACTGTTGCAAATATAGTTACTATATTTTCAACATGAGGAAAATCGCTTTTAGATCTGCCAATATCAAAACAACAACAACAAATTACATTTATTTAGTGCCTTTCACGTCGAGAGGATGTCCCAAGGCACTGAAAACCAATAAATCATGAACAGGAGTAATGTGTGGACTGGAATCTGTTCCAAGTGTCTTGGTCAGCAATTGCCCAGATGAAAGCAAATCAGTCTTTCACTTCTTGGCTGTTTGAAGGACATTGCTTGCCACAAATTGGCTGCTGAGTTTGCCTTTAAATGCAGTCCCTACATTTTACAGGAAAACTTTTGTGAAATGCTTTGAGATTATGACACTATATCAAACAAATGAGAGGTAGTTTTCTTCATCAAAGCTGTTGATGTATCTACATAAATCTTTCATTGTAAGCTGAACTCTTAATGTCAACTTAAAATGCAATGTATTCTTGAAACACATGGCAGGTTGTTATATTCTTATAACAAATAGAGGAAGAAATTGGATCCAGATTTATCCTGTTTTCTATTGTCCTTTCCATGTTGTATACAGGTGAAATGTTCCTGTACAATTTCAGTTTGATAAGGCACTTACTTTAGTGATGTTTTAACATCCTAGCAATAACCCAACTCACCTTGAAATAGAGATGGCTGGATATTGCTGACATAATAGAATGCGTTCTTGAAGAAAACCAGCATTGTAGAGTAAACTACTTGATTCTTATACTTCCTGTGGTTTTCTTCATCAAAGCTGTTGATGTATCTACATAAATCTTTCATTCGATGTAGAATTTCTGCACAGGTCCTGAAAGATTTTTTAAGAAAACTCAAAAGTCAGTCATAAGTGGAACACTGAAGGGGGGAAAAAATGGAAAAGCTTCACCACACAATAGCACGAGAAGCGTGATGACGTGTGTGTATATTGAAGTGAGAGAACACAATTTGAAGTGCAAGGTACCACCGATGGAGTCAGCTGGCTTTTTACGGATTTTTTTATAGAAAGTACCATAAATATGAGTCTAAGCAAATCTACCCAACAAACTGTTATATTGCGGTTCTACTGTATGATACCAGGACCTCTTTCTATTTTTTGGGGGGGCGCGGGGGGATGAGATGTGTAAAAATTGCTTAAATGTTATATCAAAATGTTATTTATCTCAGCTTTACAAGCTGCAAGTAATAACGTATATTTATATAATGCATTACACATAGAAAAATATTTCACAGTGAAGGAGTGGGAGCCCCAGTAGTTGGAGAGATGGAAGAGAGTGGAGTGGAAGAGAGATAACCATTGATGCAGTCAAAATGACAGGTAATTAGAAATGTGTTAAATGCAGAGAGGGACGGATGCAGAGAGATTTAAAGAGAATGTTCCAAAAAGCAGGGGCAAGGTTGGTGAAGGCTCACCCACTGATAGTGGGCCGACAAACATAGAGCAGTTGGTAGAGCAACACTGAGTGCAACAGACTGCAATACTCAAGGAGAACTCCAACCTGTTTCCTTTGTCCATCTGCCACTCACATCGCATTGCTACAATAGAGAGGATTTCAAACAGCCTGTCCCATGGTTCCACAATCTGTGATGACTTCTCAGTTAGCCCTTCTATGATGTATTTTTGAGAGCTCCGCTTTGTGGGTGACTTGATTTCAGCTGTATCTTGAGAACCTAGCATTTAATAAGAATGATAACATCACCGTAGATATTTGACAAGATAAGAATTCTCCGATAAACAGCTGCAACTATTGCAAGAAAATAAAAACCTCTCCTTTAAGCAGGCTTTTCCATAACTTATTGTCCATTCACAATTCAGACAAACATGAAGGTTTCTATGAAATTCTGCTTCAAGAATTTCTTGCATAAAATCTGATAAGTAGAAGTTGCCAATTTTGAAATTTATGGTAGAATTCCAGATGATCCTCAAGTTAATTTGATAAAACTGGTGGAATATTAATTTTTCAGTATTTATCGATTATATTGATTATTTTGAATTCTTGCATATGTACTGATCCTATATCCTCGAATCATGAACCTAAAATATGCAGCATGAAGAGCCATGGTAGCACTCTGAAAATTACACCACTTTTCCTCCTTCAACACAAACATTAAACACATGATAAGCAGTTTATAATCTCAAATAGTCCAAGTACAATTACTATGACAAATTATTTTGCTGTATTCGGGTATCATTTAGTTGCCCAAAAAATAAGATAAGAGCCAAGGCACAAACCCAAATGGATTCAAGTACTCAATCATTAGTTTCTTGCACAATATAACACTAGTAATACAAATTCCTGAGTTACAGCAACTGTGGAGCCAATATGGTCTCCAACATGGTGAATTTGGAAAGGACATTACCTTGATGCTGGTTTTCCAATGAAGGAGACCTGGTAATGTAACTTATATAAAATTCAGCAGCTTTGTGGAGATACTGATACAACAGGTTAGCAGGTAACCTCACATCAAGGTTGTTGATAATCAAAGGTAGGACATCACACACTGTTTTGATAAAGGTGCATTGTGTTACAGAAATAGTACCTACACATTTACTACAAGAAAAANTACCCACAACAATTAAATATTGACATGTGCTTCCCCTATAAACGTCCAGTTCATAAAGTTCATAAAGCTAGAAATCAGTTACAGATCAATATTTTGAAGGTCACTATGATTCAACAAACAATATTTTTTTAAGGCATAGCAAGACAGTATTCCAATTCCCTTCCACGTCACAGAGCATTATAATTGTTCAATCTGACTTTATGAAGTTCTGTTGTCGATCTTTCTTTGTATCGTTTTATGCTGAAATGCAGCTTTGAGGTATCGGAGTCCTGTAGCTCAATGGTTGCAAGCGAGAGACCTGAGTTCAATTCCAGGCAGAGGGCGAAACCTTGGGCAAGTTTCCTTACTCCACACACCTAATAATAATCCCTCCAAAACCAAAAACAATAATAAAAATTGGTCATTTTCAATCTACGACTGTTTGTGGGACATTGCTGTGCACAATTGGCTGCCGCGTTCGCCCACAAATATACAGTCAATTCACTTTACAGTGTGTTCTGTGAAGCGCTTTAGGATGTCCTCCTGACGTGAAAAGCGCTATATCAAATGCAAGGATTATTATTATTATTATCCAGAGGTACTTTAGTGTCTCCACAATCAACTGCAAGACAGCAGTTGTGAATGGAATCAAGTGAAAAGTATTCCAATCTTCAACGAAAGTGCATATAAATGCATACCTTGCAGTGGAAGCCACTAATATGTGAACCAAGACAGAGAAACCCTAAGGCCAACTGTAGGTCTCCAAGTAGCACTCCCTTGGCTGAACCAACTAAACCTACAGACAAGGGAATGAATCTGGAAAATTCCTGATATTGAAGTACACATTTGTCTTCACATTTTCAGGTCAATGATACGTTTTCATATCTTACCAAATAACTTCCTAAAACAATTGACAGGTGATTCTTGATCTTCGATGTTTTCAGCTTCCAATAAAGTCTCACCAAGACTGACCTAATTTAAGAGGAAAAAAATACATATTCAAAATCTTTGTTATGTACTAAAAGAACTTTACAATTTTCAAAATTAATAAATTCTATCCCCTAAACTGACTACAAATCTTCAAAGTAAGAAACATGGGATTAAAACTGTGGTATTCCTAAACATATTCCATTCTGTTTTAAGGAACAAAGATAAAATGTGGTTTCTGAATAATAATTCCCAAACTTGGGAACCCCATCTTGGATCACTGATGGTGGAAATAATTTCCAAAGGCAGAAAATAGCCTTTCTGCGCTTATTCGGAGGGAGACTTTCCTAAATCAGCCCGAGTTAGAGCATCACTCCGTAAATAATCTAGAGGCAGTTTTCTGTGCTCAAAAATGGCAAGAGAAGCTTCGCTGGATTTAAATCTTAAATATTAAATGAGATTAAATTTATAATTTTTTTCAAAACAGGCCAACAGTTCAAAAGGATAAATAGTTGACTCCTGGGCCAGAGATATCAGTTCTTGTCCAGGACATTGGTCAGAGCACAGAGAAACAATGCATCTCATCTCAGAAATTGATAGCCAATTCTTATTGACTAATATTTGGAGCAACTGTTCAAAGTGGAATTGTTGACTGTCGGAAGATGGAATCTGAAGTAAGAAGAAGTGGATTTGCACTTCGAGATGTCTTTTTTACATGAACGTTGTAAATAGTTATAGTTGAGATTATAGTATAAGAATCATTAGTATTGATCATGTAGTGAAGAGATGAATTAAGTAGAATGAATTATAAAAAATAAAAACTGCCATCTGACACACACACACACACACACAGTCCTAGTAAAGAGGCACCGAGCTAGGAGGAGTACACTGGAATGTGACCCATGGTCAGGGAACATAAGGATAGCTGGATCTAAAGGATGGATGGTAGGCAGTCTACCCTTACAAGGGCATGTGACCTATGGGCAGGAGAGATAGGAACCTGGAATAATTGGACCAGGAGAATGGATGGGATACAAACTAGTAATTAAAACTGAGAGAATAATAATAATAATAATAATCCTTGCATTTGATATAGCGCTTTTCACGTCAGGAGGACGTCCCAAAGCGCTTCACAGAACACACTGTAAAGTGAATTGACTGTATATTTGTGGGCGAACGCGGCAGCCAATTGCGCACAGCAATGTCCCACAAACAGTCGCAGGTTGAAAATGACCAATTTATTATTGTTTTTGGATTTTGGAGGGATTATTATTAGGTGTGTGGAGTAAGGAAACTTGCCCAAGGTTTCGCCCTCTGCCTGGAATTGAACTCAGGTCTCTCGCTTGCAAAGCGAGTGCTCTAACCACTGAGCTACAGGACTCCACAGAGAGAAAGCTTAAAGTGAGCAGGTCACATGAACAGAGTTAGAAAGAAGGACTGAAACTTCAGGGACATGGAGTCAGGTGGTTTGGTCAGATTCTTTTGTAAAAGCTACCCTAGCTGGTACAAGGAGAAACAACTTGAAGGTAGGGAAAGAATGCCTGGGAAAAGTGCAGAGTGTGAGAAAGAAGTCATGAAAAAAAGAGTTAGAACACAGATGGCTGGCGAAAAAGGGTATAAAAATAGATAGCCGAAACTAGTTTTTTTGGAGCCTCTGCGGAGAGAAAGGGGACAGACCTCTACGGAGAGGAAGAGGAATGCCTTTGAGGGAAAGAGGACAAGTCCAGCTCTCGCTGGAGTGGACTGCAAAGAGGACAAGTTCAGCCCTTGCCATAGTGGACCACCAAGAGACGTTTGCAGCCAGCAGCAACCCAGAGATAGTGTTTAACTTTTGTGCCAGCCTTAAAACTTTATCACGATTTCCTGCCTGCTTGGTAGTATCTCTCCTAGTTACTAAAACACGCACTCAACATACATACAAAACAGTAAGAGATTATTTAGGTACATTTCATATAGCACATAATTTTTTTTATATATGTTTAGAATTTTAGTATTGAGTATATCTTGTGTTTTAGTAGTCATTTAAGCGTGACGAGTAATGATAATATGTCAGGTGTAATGTGATGCTTATGCGGTTTTATAATTGCTAATAAAACGTTTTAATAATATCCTTGGTGTGGTTTCTGACAAACGCTTGAACCCAATTTCACAACGTTGGTCAGGACGTTGGGCCAAACTCCCTTTTTTTTTTTTGATTCGGGCCATGATATCTTTAACGTCCATTTAAACAGTAAGGACCATGGTTTACTGTCTTATCCAAAGGACAGCACCTCGAACAACACAACACATCCTTGCATTACACCCTCTTTCAATCTCCCCATCCCTCTCTTTCTTTCTTTCGCCCTCTCCCTCACATTCATTCCCTCCGGTCCTCACACAATCTCCCTCTCTCTCTCAATCACTCTCTCTGCTCTCTCCCACCTCTCTCAATCACTCTCTCTCCCTTACCTCTCTGTCACACACATACTCTGTTCCCCACGCCTCCATGCAGCAACCAGCATTCTATTGGGAGTGTCAGCTTAGACTATGTGATTCAAAGTGCTGCTGTGGGGCTTGAACCCACAACCTCCTGACTCAACAAGTGCAACTAACTGAGCCAGGCAGACATCTTATTTGTAGGTGCAATAATAGTGTTAAAAGTGTCAATTCACAGTTGAGTGCACAAGTTATTTGCTATGCTTTAAATACCCCATGTTGGACAACAGATTCTGGAAACCGTCTCAAGAGAAGCAGCAACATTTCCGCTCTTTCCAGTGTATTGAAGCACTGTTCTGTGGCCTTAAGAAGCATTTCGCATTGTATTCGACCAGGCAGAGTCTCAAACAGTCCTGAAAAGCAATTCAACAGTCCTGACATAGGATGCCAATTGTGTATAAAAGCCTCTCAAACATACATTAAATATTAGTATGTCAAATTGAAACACAACTTGCTATTTTGTTCCTCTTTACCTTTTGGATTTATTTGCAGACACCAGTATACAACAACAACAAGATTACATTTGCATAGCGCCTTTCACGTCGGGAGGACGTCCCAAGGCGCTGGACAGAGAACAGCATTTCAGACCCGAGCTGGGGTCGAGGTGGGGAAGGGAGGGGAGAGGTAGGGGGGAAGCCGATGGCATGGTCGAAGGGGAGATTCTTGAGGCGGGACTTGACGGAGGCTAAGGAGGGGGTGAGGCGGAGTGATTGGGGGATGGAATTCCAGAGGTTGGGGGCAGAGTGGCTGAAGGTTCTCCCACCAATGGTGGGGCGAGTGGGTCGGGGGACGTGGAGCAGGCCGGAGCCGGCTGAGCGGAGGGAATGGGCGGGTTGGTAGGGGGTTAGGAGGTCACAGAGGTAGGGTGGGGCGAGGCCATGGAGGGCTTTGTATGTGAGGATCAGGATCTTGAACTGGATCCTCTGAAGGATAGAGAGCCAATGGAGTTGGGCGAGAATGGGGGAGATGGGGTCACGGAGTTTGGTGCGGGAGAGGACACGGGCTGCAGAGTTCTGGATTATCTGCAGCCTATGGAGGGAGGAGTTGGGAAGGCCGACAAGCAGGGAGTTTGCAAGGTCGAGCCTGGAGGTGATGAAGGCATGGACAAGAGTTTCCTCCGCCTGAGGGGTGAGGTAGTGGTGGAGTCGGGCGATGTTACGAAGGTGAGGGAAGGCAGAGCGGGTCATGGCTTGAATGTGGGGAAGAAAAGACAGTTGGGGGTCGAACAAGACACCGAGGTTCCTGACTGGCTTGGTGAGTTGAAGTGTGCAACCATGGAGGTTGATGCTGCCAGAGCCTGAGGTGCGGAGGCGCTGGCGTGAGCCAATCAGGAGGGCCTCAGTCTTGTTCGCATTCAACTGCAGGAAATTTTCCCTCATCCAGGACTTGATGTCCGACCGGCAGTCTGTCAGGACAGCAGTGGTCCTGGAGTTGAGGGTAGAGACAGAAAGATAGAGTTAGGGGTCATCTGCATACATGTGTAAATTGACCCCATGTCTGCGGATGATGTCACCAAGGGGGAGCATGTAGATATTAAGGAGGAGAGGACCAAGGACAGAGCCCTGGGGGACGCCAGACATGACAGTGCGGGGGCTGGAGGAGAAGCCGTTAAGAGGCAACGAAGTGGACACAGTGAGAGAGATAGGAATCGAACCAGGCAAGGGCAGGTCCGTGAAGATTAAGTAAGGAGGAGAGGCGGTGTATGAGGATGAAGTGGTCGACAGTGTCGAAGGCGACAGAAAGGTCGAGGAGGACAAGGAGGCAGAGGGAGCCCTGATCACAGATGTTCAGAATGTCATTAGTGACTTCGACCAGGGCTGTTTCCGTGCTGTGGGCAGAGCGGAAGCCGGATTGGAGGGTTTCGAAGAGGGAATGGCGAGAAAGAAAGGAACAGAGCTGGGACGCGATGACTCATTCCAGGACCTTGGAGAGGAATGGGAGATGGGGCAGTAGCTGGAGTGAAGGGATGGGTCCAGGGAAGGTTTTTTCAAGATGGGGGTGATGATGGCTGTTTTTACAGGGGTGGGAACTGAACCAGTGGACAAGGAGAGGTTGATAATGTCGGACATTATTTGAACAGAGAAGGGAGTTTGTCCCATGGTCTTGGCCAACAATCCCCCAGATACAATCCGTCATTCAGTTCAAGGCTGCTTTTGTGTCATTGCTGTGCGCCAATATTGGCTGCATCATTCCTCTTCCAAAATACACAGTCACTACACTTTGCAGGAAATCCTGCAAAGCACTGAGGTGTTCTGTTTGATGTGAAATTAAGAGTTATTATTGATTTAGTTTTGTTCTAGTTCAATTACTGGACCTTTTCTTTCAATTACAATTTTCAGGATTTTTGCTCTTGATAATAATACTTTATTTACATAGGTTTGTAAACTTTACTGAACAGCCAATGGTCAGGAGTATTCAGCGAGCCATGGTTAACCTGCTGAGCTGGCTGGTGAGGTACAGTGAGGAGATGGGGGCAGTGATGTCTTCCCAGGGACGACATTTTGGAACTCCGCTCAATGCAAGATTTCAATTTTGATCTGAAGCCAAAGGGAACTATTGGCAAGTGATTAGAATTTGCTACTTAAAAATGCTTTTGGCAATTTGAATATTGGCAATTGTGAATTAAAGTCCCAGTATCATGCTGCAGTCCTTCATTAGCTTCCAAGAATGTAAACAATTTACATTTAATGACTTGCTTACCTGATTCAATTATATAAAATATAACAACACCAGCACATTGGTGTCACCTGCAGGTGCTACTGCTGGGATAAGAATAGCATTCCAGGTGGAAATTCTGAAAATAGTTCTGCTTACCATGTTCAACATTGGGCAAGGACAAGTAGCTCAGTGCTTCTCAGTGCCATGTTCAACAAAGCCACAGACCACTTTGGTAACCTTGAGAGAACATTTTATAACCATTTCAGCCATCATTTTTTATGACTATTTAAAGAGCTTTTCTTCCTTCTCTGCTAAAAATACACAAGAGTACATAGTGCTGTAGCATCTACCAAACAACCTGGGAAACAAAGGCAATGCCTGATGTAGCAGTAACTCCTGGATTGTGCTGCTAGTTGATTTCGGTCAGGGTGTTTTTTATGCGTGAACACATTGGCAGCTATTTAACTTTGAAAGCATGCAGCTGAGCCTGAACACAAGTACTTTCAAATAGAATCAATAGTAATAATCTTTACATTTGATATAGCCTTATCATGTATTCGAGACGTCTCAAAGTGCTTCACAGAAAATACTGCAAAGTGAATTTACTGTATAATTTGTCTGCGAAATGTGGCAGCCATTTGTGCACATCAGCGTCCCACAAACAGTAGTGGATTGAGTGACCAATTTTTTTTCTGAATGGACAGCAATTAAAGTGGGAACCCTGTCTAATGTCCATCCTTCTTAGTCCAAGGTGAACTGCAACGACTCAACTGAAGCCCTGATTGGTATTTGAACATAAAACCTTCTGCAATGGCCATTATTTCCATCATAATATAATAATAGCATTTGATATAGCGCCTTACAACTTCATTGAGATGTCTCAAAGCCTTCACAGAATATACTGTAAAGTGGATTGACTGTATTTTGTGGGCGAAACGAACTAAGAAAGTACACAATCTGGTAAAATGTTTATTAAAATTAAAAGAAAACAAAATCTTTTCCAAAACCTCCTAGTAACACATTTACACCCCATTAAAAAGTACCCAACCATATCCAACCATACAACAGCAATAAGATTACATTTGTACAGTAGCTTTCACGTCGGGAGGCGCTAAGTAAATAAAAAAAATTCTGCTTACCTCGTAAAAACTGTGTCTGTTTGTCCTGAGAATCATTACGCAATGCTCCAGTAATTACACTTATTTCCCTCCAGACCATAGGCTGGTCAGTAAAGTTCACAAACCTATGAAAATAAAGCATTATTAGAAAGAACAAAAATCCTGAAAATTGTAATCGAAAGATCTAGTAATTGTACTAGAACAAAACTAAATCAATAATAACTCTTAATTTCACATCAAACAGAACACCTCAGTGCTTCGCAGGATTTCCTGTAAAGTGTAGAGAATGTGTATTTTGGAGAGGAATGATGCAGCCAATGTTGGCGCACAGCAATGACACAAAAACAGCCTTGAACTGAATGACAGATTGTATCTGGGGGATTGTTGGCCAAGACAATGGGACAAACTCCCTTCTCTGTTCAAATAATGCCATGCCTCTAAACACCCATCTGAACCTCAATTTAAAATCTCAACCGAAGGACCCCAATTCTCTCCAATTCTTCCCCCTTCTGAAGAATGGTTTTGTCCACAGGCTCTGCAGTTTCAAAACTGGTCCTTGAGTAAGGACCAAAATCCTTAAATTCTTTTCCATTTTGGGAGCATGTGCTAACTGGTGCGGCATATAACAGCCATACATTAGCAAGGCCTGGGGAGGAGGTGTTCAGTCACAAGCCTATCATTCAGGACATTTTAATGGCATTTTCTCCCCATGCAAGAGTCATCACCGGGTGATAATTAGCATGGCACATCCCAATTCTCTTCCATCCTCCTCCTCCTCCCATAGGTTTGCCTTACCGGCAAACAGTTGACATGAGAGCATTCAAACATCTAAACAAACATTTAAGCACTTTGGAACATCCTCCCGACATGAAAAGTACTATATATATATACAAATTGTGTTGTATTTCTACCAGTTGTTGCTGGAGTGTAAAAAAAATCGATATCTCTAGTGCTGTAAATATGTCTTATATATATGTAAAAATGCTTATCCAATATTGACAATGTTGTCCAAACTACGTCAATTGACTGTACACTTTGTTGTTGTTCTCCACCTGCAAACAGAAAGGTTTCTAATGTCACTCACATGTCATATAGGAGGCGGCCAGCTGAAGCAGTCCTCTCAGCATTCCTCTCAATCGTGTACATTTCATACTAAATTTAAAAAAAGTATAAAATCAATTCACAAAATGAATCTTCAGAGATAATGATCTTACCAAAATCTGTCAGTGCATGTTCCCAACTGAGCCAAGCTGACAACTCTGAATGCTTAGAGCGGGTGGTCCAACTGGTGGCCCGTGAGCCTGGGGGATGATTTCATCCGGCCCGCAAACACACTCGAATGGTGTGTCTAGAGCCCAGGCTTGGTCTGACACAGCAGGAAAAACAGTGGCGGGAGGCGGTGATTAGCAACAAAGCCTGGCAATCACTTTCAAATAAGTAAGAAGACAGAGACAGAGTGATGTATAGAGACAGAAAGAGAGAGAGATACACAGACACAGAGAGAAATAGATAGACATAAACAGAGAGATACAGAGTTAGACACAGACAGAGATACTTGCACATACAGAGATATGCACACAGAGAGACAGAGATACCCACAGACAGAGAGAGAGAGAGAGAGATACCCACAGACAGAGAGAGAGATACCCACAGACAGAGAGAGAGATACCCACAGACAGAGAGAGAGATACCCACAGACAGAGAGAGAGATACCCACAGACAGAGAGAGAGAGATGCGCATGGACAAAGAGAGAAATGTAGAGACAGACAAACAGAGAGAGATGCAAAGATGCAAAGTCACAGAGAGACAGTGACACAGACACACACAGACAGAGAAACAGATACGGATAGGTAGGGAGGTACGAGGGCATGAAGTGATTTTAAAACAAGGATCTGTTCAATGATTGGGAGCCAGTGGAGTCTGGCAAGGACTGGTGTGATGGGGACATGGAGTTTTGTGCGGGTAAGTATCCAGGTGGCGGAGTTTTGAATTAATTGGATTTTGTGTATGGTTTGGAGCTCGAGAGACCAGCGAGAAGGGCATTGGAATAGTCCAGCTTGTAAGTGACAAAAGCTTGGACAAGGGTTTCAGCTGTGTCGGTGGTGAAGTAAGGACGGAGGTGGGCAATGTGACAGAGGTGGAAAGTTGCGGTCCTTGTCAGGGAATGTATGGCAGAAAGGAAAGCTGGGGATCAAACGTAATCCCTAGTTGTGCATGGGTACAGAGAGTATGAGGGAGAGGCCGGGGAGGTTGAGGAATTCAGAACCACAGGAGAGAAGACGTTGATAGGAGCCAGAGTACAGCTTCCATGTTGCCAACAGTCAGCTACAGGAAATTTACGTTCATTCGGGCCTTGATGTCAGACAAGCTGATACGACATCAGTGGACTGGGAGTCACAGCTGGAGAAGTAGATTTGTGTGTCATTCGCGTACATGTGGAATTGACCTATGTCTGCAGATGACGTCACTAAGATGGAGCATGTACATAAGGAAAAGAAGGGGCCAAGGCTGGAGGCTTGGAGTACACCTTGGACTAGGCCGGGGAGGAAGGGGGGGAGGAAAAACCATTGACTGAGATGACGTGCTGGCGGTTGGTTAAGTAGCACTTCGAAACCCACACACAGACATATACAGATACACACACAGGTACGCACACACACACAGGTACGCACACACACACACAGACACACACACACAGGTACGCACACACACACAGGTACGCACACACACACACAGACACACACAGGTACGCACACACACACAGGTACGCACACACACACACAGACACACACACACAGGTACGCACACACACACAGGTACGCACACACACACACAGACACACACACACAGGTACGCACACACACACAGGTACGCACACACACACACAGACACACACAGGTACGCACACACACACAGGTACGCACACACACACACAGACACACACACACAGGTACGCACACACACACAGGTACGCACACACACACACAGACACACACACACAGGTACGCACACACACACAGGTACGCGCACACACACACACAGACACACACACACAGGTACGCACACACACACAGGTACGCACACACACACAGGTACGCACACACACACAGGTACGCACACACACACAGGTACGCACACACACACACAGACACACACACACAGGTACGCACACACACACAGTACGCCCCACACACAGACACACAACACACAACAGACCGTACACACAACACGCACAGGTCGCACACACACACAGGTCACCACACACCAGGTACCACACACACACAGGTACGCCC